CCCTGCAGGCTGGCAGAGCTCCAGCCTGCAAGGGGCTGATTGGGACCCGTCATTGCGGCCAGGGGGCACTGGGTCAGGAGTGAGGGGCACTGGGTTGGGACTGGCCATCAATGTTTAAAAATGGTTCCTGGTACAAAAAGATATGAGAACCACTGCTCTATACCACTTCTTGACCAAGTCCCACCCCGTATCATATTTTCTACTATTCTAGCCCCTGGGCTCTTTTAAGAGATGACCAGTCTTGTTTAAGTGGGAGATGGTTTAGCATGATGTGAAAAACTCAGCTCATTTCCACATTTCACTTGTTTCACGCTACATATAATTTATAACACAACTAAGTAGGCAGTCATGCTTCAAAGAACAAAGCTTTTCCATGATTTCTATGGCAAGTCTGTAGAATCGGGTGAACAAATGAAGTTCCTTGAGAAGTTCATTGTCTCCTGCAAGGGTTCTTTTTAGATTTTAGCTGGAGGTAGCTGTCTCTGAACATGTCTGCGTTTGAGTGCACAAACGGACAGAAAGATACAGATATTTATAACTCTGCCTACTGCCTGCTTACTCCCACTGGAATGAAGAGTTTGTCAATATTTACATTATTACCAAGCCCTATTTCATGACACCAACACAGAGTATGCAGGCAGGCACAACTGCCCACACCTGAAATCTGAAAAGGACTCTTGCAAGAGACAGTGCACTGTCACTGACGTTACGGTTTATTTATTTATTTATTTTCTTGCCTGAAGGATTCTGCAGATTTTGCAAATCCCTCATTTCCAGCCCTGTGGCAAAAATGTACCTTTCAGCTGTCTCTACTGTAATGTTGTATGCAAATATACAGAGGGAAGAGTTTCACTGTGTTCTAGGAGGTTTTCATAACCCGAATGTTTGACTTCATGCCACAATGACTCGGTATGAATGCCTTCTTTCTCTCGCATAGACCTATATGCATTTTCAAATTCTACACTAATAAATTTCAACCCATTTTGTCCCACTTGGGTATGGAGCCTAGAAACAGCCAGATGACAATACAGTATAGCAATATCACTGTAACTACCCACCAAGAGATCTGCAAAACATAATAGTATAAAATCTGTTCTCTGAATCTTTCTCTCCCTATCTCCATAAAAAAAAAATCACTGAAAGAAATGATGTACTACAGGTACAGTTTGGCCAGGGCAGTCCAGATTTCATAGGCTATCCTGGCGTCCCAACTGGTTGGCTAAAACTGAAGCACACCTGCATGTGCCTGGCCCAGCACCTCCTGAGCAGCGGCCAGAGGCTGGGGGGGCAGGCCAGGCTGAGCACCGCTCCTCCTCCCTGGGGTGGGGATCAGCTGGGTCAGAGCAGGCCAGGGGAGCGGGCTGGGACTGGGGCTTGGGCACCTGAGTGGGGCAGGCGTGTGTGCATGTATGAGTGGATATGTTGCCCCCCCCACAATGTATTTTCCTCAAAATAATACAGTCACCCTAACTTTAGAGGCGTAGGGATACTCAGAAGCTAACCCTGTTCACCCATAGCCTAGCTCTCTAGAGGAATCAGAAATTGTAGTGGAAACACAGCACTTGAAGCAACTTTAAAGGTTTTTGGGACAATATGATTAATAAATTAACAAACAGAGATATTCTGATATATCCCTGCAGGGATGGGGAGCTCTCAATAATCACTCCAATCAAGATCAGAAAACTGGTGCCAATGTAACCTGCAGTTGTTTTATGGACTGGTCTCCCAGATAAAAAAGGATAAGTTAGTTGGCCTCAATTATTACCTATCATTCTACAGCTTCCCAAACTGGTTCTACTCCAGTCATTCAGACCTATGTACTGACACACTGTGGTTTCATTACTATAACTCTGAACATTAGGTATAATGTCGTATTTGTAAAGAAGAGCACATTGGGAGAGGTTATCTGTGATGAAACACCAACATAATTCCTCCTATGTCTTCCACTTGTATATTACAACATTTTCTGTTAATTTTAAGAGGCAACAAAAATATATGCTGGTGATGGTTTCTGAGATGTATTAAGCAATAACAAGAACTCAGGAATGCCCTTTCACTCTGGACATTTCCAGTCTCCCAGAGAACATGAATTGGTTGTGCATTTATGCAGTTATCTCCCCCCCCCAAAAAAAACCAAACAAACCCCATTTCTGGTCATCAATTGTAGCAATGTTATTAAAATAAGGACACAGTGGGAACAAACAATGTCAGCTGCCTTCTGAGACTCAAAGTCAGTGCCAAAAAGGCATCAAATTTAAGGTGGTCCATTTTTATCCCAATACTTCCTCTGTTCTCCCTTACATCCCTGATTCTTTTAAGGTAAAATTTACTCCAGTGCAGAAGGTCTGAACACGGATTTTTGAAACTGGATTTGACTCTATTAGATAAATCCTATGTACCTCAACAGGTCTTACATGGGACCTCTACATTAGAAATAATGTCGCCCTTTGTGTAGGAACTTGTCTTCACAGATGAGATGGCTAAGAGCTTAACCACGTCCTCAGAAAAGCAAATTGTTAGTTACCCTGGATTGTGCAGAGTCTAGAAACATTTCTGGGTACAACTGACTCTTCAGCCTCCAGATCTATCTGCTGAAGCAGGACATTGATGATTAATAACATCCCCCTTTTTCAGGGTGTTGACTAGACTTTCAATTTCTGTATGGCTAAACTTTCTTTCCTCTCCAAATTGCTTTTCTCTCTTTCACCTGAGACAGACTCTTCAATATCTCTCCTTGTGAAAATTAAAGTGTTTTTGAAGAGATGTTGCTAAGTTAACTGAATATGAACACTGAAAAAGAGCTTTATATTCCTAGTATAACCATTTTTGCAGTATTTTGCTGCAATAAATTATTTTTTACTAAAGAAGGAACAACATATACTTTCCTTGTTTATAAGAATCAATTAAAAATTGTCAAATGGTCAGCAATGGGCCAAACCCCCATATACGCTTATGTTAACATTATCTTTTTTTTGTCTTTCTTCCTATTTTTAGTTCTTTGCATCTCTCTCACCTAGAAACAGGTGCCTTATTTAAATGTTAAACCTTGTGCTGGGCTGGGTACAGATTTTTCTGTATATCCTATTTCTATTGTGAATAACTCTCTTTACCTAAAAAGTAGCTTTATAAAAATACACATTCATTAACTTTTCAAGAATATTTTGGAGCATTTCAAACCAACTCAGTGAAACAAATCAGACTTGGTATTATTTTAGGCTGTGTGTCTCAAGAGCCTTTTTCCAGAGAGAATATTTGGAATTAAAAATGTTTCAGATCAGTACATGACCAGCTGGTTTGAACTGCCTGGTATGGTGCTGAGCCTGTAATTCAGAAACTGGCTGCACATTTACTTTCTGTAAGGGGGAGATTTTTTTTGTATTCAGTGTAACACTAATAAATAGAGAAGCAAACATTTAGTGAAGTCAGTTGTGCAAAGGAGTTTGGGCCCATTAACAGAAATGTGATGTCCTCATCAACACAATTGGCATGCTCTGTAAGCTGATGCATTATGGGAAGGATGTGTTTTTTTCACAACAACTGCTGTATTACCAGACAGCAAGCTTGTATGATGCACAAATTTTACTCTCTCTTTTTTTTAAATGACTACTGGACCAAATTTTGCCCTCAGAAAGGCATGCTCAGGTTCCACTGAAGCCAAGCCAGTGGGAGTTGTGTGCATGTGTCAGAGAGCAGAATTTAGCCCTATTATTATAAAGAAAGAAAATCCTTTAGTGGATAATGAAGAAAAAGAATTTATAAAACAAACAAGCAAGCATTAAAATATAATTAATTACAAAAAAATAAAAAAATAAAAAAACCAAAAAAACCAGAGCCACTTACAGGGCTTGATGGAGTCTTTGGCCAGCCTGGGCTGCTAATGCTATCACTTTCATCTCCATGAAATGAGGAGATGCTAGCAGAGCTTGGGGACATTGGGGAAGGGACTGGCAGGTTGCCTGGGGTTGGGGGCTGAGAAATACCCTGTGAGCTGTAGCTATCCTGTGGTAGAGGAATAAAAAAAATATATATGACAAAGGCAGGGCAAACTTTATTAAAAACAAAAAAGATACATCCAGTTTAACAGACTGACCAATTCTTTATATATAAAATATATATAAACAGAGAAACACATACAGAAAACACACACATATATAAATATATAAATATATATAAAAGTTATTAAAACAACATTGTTAATTAGTATAATTTGGAAAGTTTGCTGGATGCTTGGCTCAAGTAACTAAGCCACCATGCTTACTTCAAGCTCACATGGAATGCTAAGCATGGGTTTCCCCTTATGAAAGAAAGAAAAAAAAAAAGCTGTTCACCTTATTTTATCAAATAAGGCAAGAAAGCAAAATATTAAAGTATGCTGCTGCTGAGGCGGCCAAAACAGGAAGCTATAACTGAAGGCAGAGAAAAATGGCTGCAAGTATTGAAACCAGGCAAGACCCTCCTTTCCCGCCCACCTGGCTAAGCCGAATTCCCACGCAACTGTTTTGCTTGGGTTGCTTTGCCCCCGCGAGTTAAAATGCCATAAGAACTAGTAACTTTCAGATCCACACAATGAAGGAAAAAATATAAAAGAAAAGAAACAAACAAACAGATTGCACATGAATGGAAAGGCATGCAGGAAAGACCAAATGAGGGTAGGCCAAAATCAGAGAATGAAAGACAACATAGCAGACTTCTGCTGGGCCAAACCAACACCACGTGCGGAGAAAGGAAATACCTTTGACTTGCTCTCAGGCTGTGGGGGTCCTTCTTCTTTGCCATCTGCTTTGAGAGGGAGGGGCAGTTTGGACTCACCAGGTGTCATCATATCTGCAAGACCCATAGGTGCTAATCGAAAACAGGAGAAACATTTTAGGCATGATTATGTTTGTAAGAAAATCCTTCCTGCTGTAAAACACTGATGGGTACTCCACCGTCCACTCTCCTTCTTTACATATAGTATCTGGAAACCTGGAAACCTCTTAAAGTTACGCGAAAAAGTGACATTTTAAAATATATAAAAGATATAAAAAATAAACATAGTAAAACAAAAAAGAATACAACAATTACAAAGCAAAACATTTCAAAAAGCACAAATACATTTCTAATACCACTGGCTGGCTTGCAGCTGTTTATAAACATGATTGTTGCACTGTAGGAGGATGATGGTCTTTGGAAATTGTTTCATCTTTCACTTTAATAGAGCACAACAACATAAGCCAAACCTGTGCAAATGTTGTTGATTGTGTAAATACTGGGGGAAAAGTGTGAAAATCTGAATTACCTATCAATTCAATGCGATGGCCGGCAGAGTACCTTACTATTTCTTCTGTCTTCAATATGAAGTCCTGGGTTATGTGAGCTTTTCATTTAAGTAACTCAAACCCTGTAGATTCTGAAACTTTTATCTTCCAATTACTGAATTATAAGCAGTAAAGTCCACTCTATGGGAGAAGTGGCCATCAAACTTTTTCCGCTTGTGCAGAAATCAGGTGGGACTAAAGCAAACACTACCTGCTGAGATAATACCACAGAGCTTCTTCAGCTGGGTGCTATGAGGGTTAGGTAATTATTTTTAGCCCACTGATGAAGTGCTAAGTATATTAGGATTGCTGTGTAGCTGTTGTGTTTCTAGATTTCCAATGAAAATGCAAGAAGATATATTCAAGTAAAATAGATAATACCTGACAAGAGCATGTTCTGAAAGAGGCCATGCTACCAAATCAATGCATACAGCTCAAGATCACGAACTAGACACCAGCTGAACTTTCCTGAAGAAAACCATTCGCACACGACGTTGTCTAAAGACTGGGATTGTATGCAAGACAGCCTTTGTATTTGATATACTTTTTTTAAGATTCAGGAAAGGCAAAAGGAGGACAGAGAAAACCATGAGGCAGAAAGGTGAAGAAAATGTCTACAAAATCGATAAACTATTAGAATTAGAAAAACATCTTTCTTTAAATAAAACATCATAAAACCTCTCTGTTATAAGACTGGTTTGCTCTCCTGCAAAATGACAATGCTGGCTTGCGCTAGGGAGGCATGCAGCAGAACATGCCAAGGAGACGGGGAAAAATTGCTTTAAAAATTCTTCACAGATTGCCCACTACAAAATGATTATTGCACATATTCATGTATTACTATGTTTTAGAAAATAATTAGTTTTAATTACAGCAGTGAGAGAATGAGCAGGACTCTGGCGAATATGCTGGCAAGCTTTGCAGTGCTAATTTGCTAATATCTTTAGCATCACTGCAGGTTGAAACTATGGCTCTGCCAAAAAAACCTACCCAGCCATGTGCTCTGCGAGTTTACAACTGTATATTCAATATTCGGCATTGAACCACTGGTGTTTTTCATGGGCACGTCGTCTTCTTATTTTTTCAAAGCACATTTGTAGCCCAATCAAGCCCTTAAAGTCATCACAACACAGAAATCATAATTGAGATGTTTGAAAAAAATTACTTGCAATACTTAAGATTTTGAGAATTGGAACAAAAAGCCTTTTTCAAGTGATGCAGCTGCAGAGAAAATCTATTGGGATCAGCTAAAAATGCCGTTATTTTTATGAATGTGTGCAAAACCTCAACAGAACAGCCAAGCAATATTATGCTGAGAAGCCTGCCTGCACCAAGCATTTAATTTGTATATATTATTGCCCTTATGCTCCCATTTGAGGAGTGGGGGCAGACTGGGACAATTCTGAATTGAGGTACGACAGCTTGACACTTTCTTTTTTAATCTGATTGTTTTTAAAAAGAGGGCTCTTCTTTGGTTAGTGCTTTTTAAACACTTATTCTGGGAAATATAAAAGATGCTGCTAAAATTGAGTTCAATTTTATAATACGTTTAAAATATTTTTGATAGTTACAATAGCAGAGAAACCTTATTTTTGGACATCTCCGATTTGTCTGTTTTCTAATATGCTTAATTATAATTTCCCATGTGCTGGTAATGAAGGACAAGCTGTCAGGAACTGAGGACAATTACAGAGAACTTTGTAGTTAATAAAGTACTCTGAATTAGGTTACCTTTCTTTGTTCTATTTTATTTATTGTTTTTTCTACCTTGAAATGGGAATTGCAAGGGCTTTGCTAAGTGGATTTTAAGATTGTCTAGTTTCCCTGTAGCTTTTGTAAGTACTTCACCATCCTCTGCTGAAATGCTCTTTCATAACTTCTTGTAAGAACACTCTCTAGTGATTTTGAACAGACATCCCTTCACTTTCTAGCATGGGAGTGGGCAATTATTTCAGGCAGAGGGCCGCTTACCAAGTTTCGGCAAGCTGTTGAGGGCCACATGGGTAACCCTGCCCCCGACAGGTGTTCCACCCCCTGGTTGTCATCTTGTGATGGGATGTCCTGCCCCCTAACCCCTGATTTTTGCCACCAGAAGTCCCTCCCTTTACCCCCGAAAGTACTCCTTTCAGCAACGGCTTTTGCCATCTCAGAACCAGAAAAATACCAAATTATATTTTAAAAAGCAAACATTCATTGATTTGATTTAAAAAAATATTGTTGTCCTGGTTTACATGTCTTTGTGTAGTGTACATAGAGGTAATTGTATATAATAGCTTAAAATTAAGTCTTACTTTTTAATCTTGTGGGGGGGAGGTATAGGTTTATGGTGGGCTGTGGGTGTACGGGTATGTGGGGGAAGGTGTGGATATTTGTGGGGGGGGGATACGGGATGTGGGTGTGGGGTGAGGGACCATGTGAGATGCGGGTGGATACGTGAGGTGTGGGTGGGTATGGAGTTTGTGTGGGGGAGGGTGGCTGGGTCTGCGTGTATGGCAGTGCAAGGGGGTGTGTGGGTGTATATGTATGGTCAGGTGTGTATGTGGAACTCACCCCCCCTCCCCACACACACACGGGTACCGGCATGGGCCCTGCGCTTCCATGGTCTGGTGATGCAGCCAGGAGCCACATGGTGCTGGAGCTGTGTGGGGGCAGGAAGGCAGGGGAATGACTGGGGTTGGAGTGGGGCTGGGCTGCTGTGTCCTACTGCCGGCTCCTCCTGGGTCCTACTGC